AACTATCACCTTGATGTGATTTAATGCCAGGTCGAAGAACAATGGTTTATTCGGCATCAGGATGAATGCTGGTGGCATCTCTGCTATGGGAATGTTGCGCTTCTCTTTCAATGCACCAGCTACATCCCATTGCCTCCACTCGGTGAGCGTATCAATCAACGGCTGCAAAAATGGGTTGATATGTAAGCACTTCAGGAGATTTGACCACAAAACAATTTCATTAAAAACGATTACTAACCCTGTCATCAATAATAGCAGCCGTTTTCTCATCGGTTTCGTCAGCAACTCCGGCTGCTGATGCCAGACGTTTCGCTTTAGCTGCTATGCGTGCGTGTTCAATTTCAGCAGCGAGGTTATTGAGAGCCTCCTGAACGAGCGACTTCATTAACTAATTAGATGGTAAAGAATTTAAATCCATCTGACTGCAAAGCAATCCTAGAATGTAAATAACAAACTTCAAGACTTTAGCCATACCGGTATGTGCTCAAAGACATAAACAAACAAACTCGAAATTAGAGAAACTAGACGATGCAAAAGTTTACTTTGAACTTTCTACGCTCAAACAGAAAGATGTGAACGTTGCCAAACCTCTAGAAAGATTTGAAAAAGTGCTAAAAGGTCACCGCTAAAGATGTTAGGATAAAGCATCGTTTGTATTACCTCAGATTCCTCCTGCATGTATGTGCTACCTTTGAGCTTCGAAAGCATCCCTTTTGCATCATTCGTGCGTTTTAGAGCCCTTTCAAAGAGAGCGACGGCCTCCCCAAATCGAGACAGCGCGGAGTAGGCAGCGGCCATATGATGACATCTGTAAAAATTTCAAAGTCGATTTGACCTTTTGAAGGAATTAAACATCAGCTGAATTACCTAAACGCTCTGTAATACTCTATTTTCGCTGAGACAGCTTGAATAAGGTTCTTATCGTGTTCCACACCAGGTAGCTGGAGGAGCTAAAGCGATGCATAAAAATAAGCATATAAACGCATGCATAGGAAAACTTCTGCAACAGACCTCTCTGTACACCTCAATCACTGAGTCGTAAAGACGTAGGAAATCTTGCGGCTTTGATCTCTTTTCGGATCTGAAAAATTAAGCGATAGAAAAAAATCCAATCAGAAACTTTGACCACGTTCTTTGTAGAGAACTAAAACGAGAATTTAACAACTTCTACGCTTCCCCACATACTTTGCATTCTCAATCATTGCTAGATATCTTGAAGCTGTCCCAAGCATTTTCAGAAACTCCAGATACGATTTGATTGATTGTAAAACCTGAAGGAAAACTTCATTGTCCGTTCTGTCAAACCCAAATATAGTACCGTAGAATCTGCGTTATCCGATGTTTTCCTACGAATCAGATCTGATATTCTTTCAAGCGCGTCTCTTGTATCCGTCAACTGCTTCTCATAAAGAGCCATCTGAACATTTTGATAGAATCTTTTGAGCAGAACACATTGCAAGAATGGATAAACTAACTCTCTCTTTCGGAGTCTGGCATTGCGCCAACTCGCTTTGGACCTGTTGCCAACCTTGCACAACTTGACGCGCTTTGTCGTCCTCAACGGTTGACTTGAATCCACCCCACTCGACGACAACAGCATCATCACATGATGCTTTCGATCTCATTTCGGCAATTAGACGCTGAAATATATGATTGGAGAATAATTTATAATACAAGCCTTAGAAAGACTGCATAAGAACTGAAAGAACCCTTCAATCGTAAGACGAACAATGTGAAGAAGCGCTTACATCAACAGCTTCACTGTCCGTGCCTTGCGCACGAATTTCCATCAGTTCGTTCATCATACCGTCCACAGGTTTTCCAGTTGCCTCTGCACAACTGAACTCGCATAATCGAATCTGTGGCTGGATTTCTCGACATCTGAAAGGAACTGGGAGCAATATTAAAAT